CTTCAAAAATCAATTGAAACTGATTTATAGGTATAGGGTGTTTGGAGTGGACTAAAATTTGATTTTTAGTAGATTGTGGTAGAAGTTTTTGAAATGTGTGATTGAAAAGTTGTGGGACCCATGAAATATATGATTAATATTGATTGTTTGACTTTGATTTAAATTAAAATGAGATTTCAATCCGAACCAAACATGGGCTTAATCAGTTTTGTATATTGAGTTAAATCAACAAACATTAATCAATTGTATTACACTGAAATTAATGAGCATATCGTTTTTGTAATGGTCTCTTTCCTTCATCAAATGGAGGTGGGGTGGGTGGGGTCAAATTCATTTTCACGTCACCATCTCAATGAATGAAATGTTGTTTTAGCACAAGAATTGCACGCTTTTTTGGTAAGAAGTTGCTACCAATTAAAAAAAGGGCAAAATTTCAGACACAATCCATGAAAGACTCTTTTTTGACAGAATTTATAAAGTAACCTCAAATCCTTTTGTCATGCTGAGGATCACAAAAAGACTAGCGAAATAATTTGTGCCGTGTCGAATTTTGTTGAAAGCTTGAATGGAGTTTGACATGTGTTAGTTTCTTTTCTATTTTATTTGAAAAAAATTGATTCGAGAAATTTTTATATTAAAAACAGATGACACGTTTTCATTTGCGATATACCTCTTACTTACTGAAAATCGTAAAAAAACCCTCATATTTGAAACTTTTTGTGATAAAACCCCTTTATAGTCAAATTTTTCGTTAAAAACAGTAAAAATGTCAAAATTAAAAAGTAATAATTACAATTCTACACCTTTTTTTATGTACCACCCACAATCCTAAACCTTTCAAATTTTAGTTTTCACCCCACCCCACTTCATCTTCTTCCTCAAAACTTTATTATTTTATTGGGTAATTAGCAGAAATGGTCCCCAACATTTACACTTTTTGCTTAAATGGTCCATATCGTTTTAAAATTGGTATTTGTACCCTTATTTCAAACGTTTCTTGCGGAATTGGCCCTTCCATCCATAAACCGTTAAACATCCGTTATAACCTTTTGGTAATTTGCAAAAATGGTCCCTATGGAATACAATTTAATATAATTTTGGAAATTCCTGCTTCGACGAGTGATAACTTTCGCTACGGTTGGCCATTTTGAAAATTCAATAATCATTTTGAAACAAAATAGATTTCGATAGTTAATATGAAATTTTGTTACGAGTGACTTGCATCCTTTTTATCCCAACACTATGCATTTGTCTCGATTCTTTGCCACATGCAATTTATTTTGCATGCAGCCCCGTTATAACGATATTAATGTTGACATTTTTTTGACCGTGTGGGAGGTGACACATTTTTTTTTTCATTGATTTCAACAATAATTAAAATAATCAATAGCACAAATTTTTACACCTAACACAATATCAAATTACAATAAATCTGTTTGTACAATTTTTAAATGTAGTACAATGCACAGTTCTCTCACACAATGTGGGTTACGCGATCGCAGGCCCCACCTTCCATGTGAGAGGACTGTAAGGTATGCTATACAAAAATGCTGTACATGTTGCAAGTTTGATCAAATTAATGTACACTTTAAATGTGGGTTCCTTTTGCCTATTGGTGTGTATGTATACAATTTGTGTTTTGCTCATTGTACATAAAGAAAACCACATAAACTCAAGTACTCAACAGAATACACACAAACAGTAGGACGCCATAGTGTATTTTTAAAAAAAAATTGCACGGGACCCACATACGAGTCTATTCTGTGAATTTTCTGTTGATTTTATTTATGTACTACCTCGTGAATTTGTTGGATATGCTGTACTACCTCATGAATTTGTTGTACATTCATGATTCTAGATTTTGGAATCGTTGACTGAAATTAAGTAGCCAATGTACATCAAACAAGTTACAATGTCCCCTCATTAACCTGCCAACCTAATTACATGTTTCGTCTTTAAATCCTGTCCAGGCAAATTTCTTGAAATAAGTTGGTGTAATAAATTCATTGGTCTAGCCTTCTGCTTTTAATGTCTTTATTTTGTGACACCGACAAACATTTTCCTTTTCTTATGCTAATTTGCAACTAGTTGATACCATACGGATTATTAGAATCTTTTAATAAAAATTAATGAAATATGTTGACTTCAAAAAATACGTCAATAGAATCCCCTCCACCTTTCCTTCACGTAAACATCACTTGTACACTGGAACACTCCATTACGAGGCAAAGATAATGCAGCCATTTTAGGCCTCAAAGATTTGTAGTTATGTGCAAATGATGAACTTGTTGAGGGCAAAGAGTGTGGAAAAAGGGTGGAATTTGAATTTGAGGGAACTGCAAGGATTTGGAAATGTGGGTGCATTATTAGGGCAGTGTTATTGGATAGGATTAAGCAGGCCTATCAAAGGAACGCAGGCGTGGCTAATTTATTAGTCGCCCCAAAATTTGCTCGGGAGATGGTTCAAAGGCAAGCTGCATGGAGAAGAGTTGTAGGGTTGGCAATTCAGAAGGGAATAGCGTGCCCGCTGTAAATTTGCAACATTTTGATACCTATAGACGTGGGAGGCTTCCTGCAAACCTCGTGCAAGCTCAGAGGGACTACTTTAGGGCACGTACTTATGAGAGGATTGATTTTCCAAGATCATTCCATACTGAGTGGTCGAAGCTTGCCCGGAAGGCCAAAGTATAATTCAGGGATTCACAGTTTTAAGGTTTGGTTATGTTCCACTTATAAATTACATGACATTGGCTATTCATTGGATTGGACTTATTAACTAATCAATTACATCTTGAGCTCGGCCCGTTAACCACTTGGCCCATTTTCATTTTCCTATATATGTGGGATTTCATTTACGACCAAAGTATGATTTCTAACCCTATCCAAATTCCATATCCCTTTCTTGCACTCTATTTTATCTCGTCCGACAGTTGACTTGATCGTTGGAGTGCAAACGGTCGCCGAACCTTTCTCTCAACCGGCGATATTTGCCTCCTAACAGAGTGTTCTAGTGTGCAGGTGATGCCTTTGTGGGAAAAAGGTGGAAGGGATTCTGTTGTCACATTTTTTTAGATAAAAAAAATGGTTGTTGAAAATTTGATAAAAATTGTGAATCCTATCAAACGTGTGGTTAAAATTAAATCTTAACCAATTAGAAATTGAATAAAATTTTAGCAAGCAAAATTTTATCAAAATAGCACTAGATTTTATTCTTAATAACTTTAATATTCACTTATGAGTTCTTATTTTGACAAGAGACAAGGAAATTCACTTGCACTACTTTAACTGAGTGCAAGCTATCATTACTCTTAACTATGCCTCTCGTCGTTTAGGAATCTTTAAATTCAATCTAATTTTTGCCAATAACTAGAACTTGTTAACATTTAAGGGAGTGTCTGACAAAGCTTTTGATAAAAGCTTTATCAGATGTTGATAAAACACAATAAAATGTACGGTTTAAAAGTTGTGAATCGCATAAAATATGTTATTAAAATTAATTGTTGATTTTGATTTCATTTTTATCAATTTTTTAAGTTATTCCAATTATGTACTTAATTACGTATAAAACGTATAGTTCTCTCCCAAAAAAAAAAAAAAAAGGGAATCGAGCATATAATGACAAAATAGAACGATCATATATATATAGCATCAAACCCAAGAAGCATTAAGACAGCTAATTGTCCACTTCTACAACTAGCATTTTGTCTGGTTAGTTGTTACACAAAATTGAATTAAAAAAAATCCAGAAACGAAATAAAATTCGAGGGAATTGCATAAACAATAAATTTGAGCACTTGGAACACAAATAATTTCAAATTTCGCTCGAATCTGAGTAACAATAGACAAAACTTGTCACATAATGTAAAGTTGCACACATTTGGCCAATTCCCCCTATGGATCCAAAGAGATCTAATAGTGTTTTTTTCCAAAAGAATGAACCTCTCCATCTAACTCCAAGAATTGGAGAATTAGCACCTATTTGAATCCTTTTTTTTTTCAGAAATAGATTTTACCAAAAAAAAAAAAATTGAATTGAAATGTAAATTTATTTTATTGGAAGAGTGTGTGGTTAAAAATGAATTTAGCACATGTTTGAGTCACATTAAAATTTTCATTATCATTCTTCTACTCATTTTCAACCACACATTCTTCAATAAAAAAATATTTTCCATCACATGAATAATCTTTCTTTATTTTTCAACTACACATTCTCCATCAATCTACCATTCCAAAATACATTCTTCCAAAATAATGTATCTTAAACACACCCTTAAAAGAATAGTTCAAACTGGGGCTAAGTCTTTTTCTCCCATATTAGTTTATTACCCTCCATCCCCGGTCCAATAGGGGGCCCTGTGCAAAAAGGACGTCGAGTTCAAATAAACTGCTAGTATAGGGATGACAAAAAAAAAATCCGACAACCCGATACCCGTGAAACTCCACCCTGAACGGAGCTGGGATAACTCGCTTAATCGAGTATTCAGAGCGAGGACGAGACGGAGAAGTTTGCCCCGAGGCAGGGACGGGTAATGAGCGCCCCGCCCCGCCCCGCCCGTTTAATTTTTTTTTTTTAGAATACAATACTTTAAATGGAAAATTTCACAAAATTTTATTAGTTCTAATAAAAAATGACAACTAAAATTATTTGTCTAAATCTAATGAATGAGAACAATAAAAATAAATTATCAAAAACTTAAAAAAAAAAAAAATTAAACGGGACAAGGACCTCACCCCGCCCCGCCTTAAACGGGTAACGGGACAGGAGCAGGGTGGGGAATTACTTGGCAGCACGCCCCGTTGCCAGTATCTATCAGTTCTACTAACAACCGTAGCAAATAACATTGTAGCAACTAGAAACATCCAAGTACATTTTATACATCTCCTCAGAAGATGTTTTTTCATATTGTTCAATGCGTTTATCCTACAATAACATATTATGTGTATTACAAGGAAAATTTGGCAAAAGCCAAGAATCTCAGTTGCAATTTCATGTGAATTGTTCATCCTAATACTTCCATGTCATCATCAGATGCTAAGTTCTTAACCTCATTCACACAATACATTCTATCATCATTTGGAAAGGGCAAAAGTTTCTCTGAAAAAGAACTTCCAAGAAAATCGTACTTCACATGCTTCACTCTTGATTCTCGTACGTCATTTAATCCATCTTTCCGTTTTCTACACCCATCAATCCTTGGGTTCCTTGTGTAGACATAAGCTGGGAATCCTTTGCTCGACAATCCATCCATTTTTTTATCCTTATTGCATCCATTTTCAGGGTATACTAACATATTCTGCTTCAGGTTCTTTTCATCGGGCTTGATTTCAGGGAACTCACCGTCCATTCTTGTGCTGCATGTTACTGCTTTGGCATGGAGAGTTGATGTTTCATGATCAAATACTCTAAACCCTTGATCTTCAAGGACTAAAAGCCACCCTGTAAATGAGTTAACGTGCAATTAGCTATCTTTTATAACGAAGTTAAAACAAATAATTAATATATGGCACGATCCACTAGTAAGAGTAAGAATGTAATGAACCAAGAAACTTTTGCATTTCAAAAATGAAGTCATCATTTACTGTGAGGGAGCTAGTCGTAGCGTTTACAACATGTTTGGCTAAGTTAACTTACTTTTATGATAATTTATTTTCCAAGCATGTTTGGACTTGTTATACTTATTCCTCACTTGTAAGTAAAAAAAAAAATGTTGCTTATTTTGACATTAATTAAAGGATTATTTCCGATCAACAACAAAATTATTTATGCACAAACTCGTTTATTTAATCTTTCAAGCTTATCCAAACATTCCCTAAATGTCCAGGGAAGCTCAGGCAAAGAGTAAAAAGATGTAATCCCATAGTAGTAACTCACTGATAAGAGCTTTTGGACTGCTTGGTCTACTGTTTTCCTCCTGCATTCCAGCTTGGACTGTTATACAGTTGATTAGCTCTGTCACTAACCAAGATCCGGAGAAAGCATTTACATAAGAAATGACCCTGGTTTGATCACATGTTGCCCTGCAGTCGACAAATTTCACACATTAATAGACAAAACATACTATAATTTTATGTTTGAATCCTGGACCACGGTACTTTCCCCATACCTCGCCAATTGTATGGCATTGTCTGCAACTAATGACCATACCAGAGCCAAATTTCTCAAGTAGCCATCTACTGACTGAATGCATTTATGTCGTTGTAGATACGAATGGTCAATCAATATCACTGCATCATATAGTGCTTTTTGTAGAAAAATTGCATCCTCAGAACTCTGCACCAATATAGAATCATTCACAGGGAACAAGAAGCTTTCATGTTAGCACCTCACTGCATAAGCACTTTTTACAGCAGCAAACATAAGATGCAGAAGTTCATGACAAGAGTTTATTCGAACACAAAGTTTGACTATGTTAATCCTTTTAACTATCCTCAGCATTTGATGGAAATAATTTTTCAGCCTAAAGAATTTAAGTGTGAAAACAATATCGTTCGATAAGCATACTGACCAATAGGGTGGAAACAGGTAAACTTGGTTCCAGCAGCATGTTGAGAAGCATTTCTGGCAAGCAGCACCATTAAATCAGGAGTGCATATGAAAATAAACGCAAATGATACAGTGCTTCGCAAGAAAATTGCCATTTAAAAGTGAAGAAGCAAAAATTAACACTTGCTCTTCCACGCTTTATCATATAAGAAAAGAATTGTTGAACTAACCAGATGAATGAGATCCAATAGAAGCAAGCATGAATAATGCATGCCAAGATACAATTAACCAAAATCATGAAACAACAAAAATTGAAATCGAAGAACAAGAGCGTAAATATATCTATGCCAACTATTAGCAAGAGAGTCAAGTTTGCTGCACAAGATTATTCAACCATAAAGGTGATCACCTGTCTCTACTAGAAGTAAAGATACTGAAAACTCCTAATGGTCTGAATAGAGAAATATTGAATATTCCTATGCAAGTCCATTTAAATCCTTGAGAAATTTTCAAGGCACAACCTCAACGAAAATGTGTCATTCGTAGCACCCAGCCAAGCACCCTGTGATGACATCAACTCCCTTCCTTAACTCTTTGGTCAGAATAACCTCAAGAAAATTGATAAAAAATCTGAGATATTTGAACCACTTTAAGGTACTTAGATAAGAAGTGACAGATAGAATTTTTCAACCATTTGTTATAACCCTAGATTGTTTCCTGACACTGATCGAGTTGGCAGCAGGTGCACTTTCATTTTTCTTCAACCAGGGTCAGGCTAAATGAAATGAACAGTGGATCAATTTGGTAATTCGCGGGCAATTTGAAGGTTGGATAGCAGTCTTTAATTGCATGGACAGCTAAGAAAAAAATTCAGTAATTCAAAGACCAAATAAGAAGAGAGACATTATGATGTGACGTAGTGTCTACCATAGCAAAATATTTGGAAGAAATAGATAAGTCTTACTAAGACACCACATCTTCATGTCTCTTATGAAAGAAAATTAATTAAGCAAAACAGTAGATCAGAAGAAATTCACAAAAAGTCTCAGTATCCTAGTATAAATCACTGCAAAAAAAAGATTTTAGAACTAATGAGGCAAGTATAGAGTTCCTTGATCTCACTGTAACTAAGGGACGTTGTATTTATTCCCTATAGTTAACTACTGATATGCATTCCTCATTATTGATCCACCGAACTTACGAGATGTAAATTCTTCAAGTTATTTTCTCTTCATTTTCCTTTGACAGGACTGCTTGTATGAGTTGATATGCTCACATACAAACCAACAAGGTTCAATTACTTATATCAGAGGCTTATTTAACAAGTGTGTCGTCAGCAATTCATTACAACGTCTTAACATGTCCCTTTAGTCTTTCTCTAGTACGTGTGTACAAATTGAAAGAGCGACCAGACTTAACATAAATGTTTCCATTGGAACCATTCTAAATAGGAAGAAAATACTGGCTGTATTTTTTTCGTTTCTTTCAATTGATAGTGTCCAACTTCACATACCCCGGTGTATAAAACCACTGCATCTTATGATTAGTGCCGAGTAGTATTTAAGATATGACATTCAATGTAATATGGAAGAATTTGAAGAATTTAGTTGCACAAAATTTTGGTTATTGAAATTAGTGGTGCATAAGTCATATCCTACTTTGAAACATTGGGGAAGACAGGCTTCATAGATCATATTATAAAAAATGCCAAGATGATTCTGATTTTCTAATAAAACAAATTTGCAAGGAAAATACGAGAAAACTCACGTAAGAAGTAAAAATTCTGAAACCCCTTGATAGTCTGAACAGCCAGATTTTGTGTATCTTTCAGCAACTCCTCTCTACTCCCACCCGAACCAAATTTCAGACACAACCTCAGCAAAAACACTTCATACAAGACAATCCCAGCTAATTCCCCAATCCCAGACCTCGCGTTCATCCGATTCCAAACCCCATCACTCAAAACGGGGAAAAAAACCCTCAAATCTTCCCCATATGTACAACTCCCCCCACCTCGGTCAACAGTCCAAACCCTAACCAAATCCTCAAAACACAGCACTGATTTATCAATCTCAACAATTCCATTTGCATAATCATCGATACCACAGTATACCATAATATAGCTAACCATTTTCTCTACCAAATCTCCAACCTCCATTCTCAAACTAAACCCATGTTTTGAAAAATCATACAAAAAATTATACAGCTCGTATACAACAGGTGCAATCAGCGCGATCTTTTTCGATGCGCTGCTCAAATTAGAACACGAAATTAGTAAATTCAACAAGTCATTAGCTACAAGAATTCGAGTGGAAGGATCATTTTTGGGGCCCAATTTCGAAGTATGGAAAGTCATGGCAGAGTAAAACCAGGTGATCTCGAGAGGTGGGTCAAGCATGGTTTGAATTAACCTGAAGAAAATCGACTCAAAAGCCGAAAAATCGGAGCCTCCATTCTCGTACAGGGTCAAGAAGTGTTTGATTGAGTCTTTCAACATGGGTTCATGGTTTAGTAATTGGGAATTCATGGTGGGTTTTGTAATTTACAGATGAATTTGGAAGAGTGCGAAAATGGGTTTGGGGGTTAACAGAATGATTAAACCCTAGCAACGTGCAGAAGGTGGGTGGGGTAGTAAAGAGAGGGAACATTTTGGGGCTTTTCCTANACCCGCCTGAAAAAATCAGGGAATTTATCCTCTATGGAAAACGCAGAGATAGGGATTGGTGGGGGACTTTTTTTTTTTTTTTTTTTTTCATTTTAAATTTTTCAGAAAAGAAGTAGAAATTAAAGAATTATTATAATTAATTTTCATATTTCGGGATTTCTTTTTTACCCTTTTTTGCAAGTGAATTAAGTTCTTGTTTACCCTCCATTTTAATTTTAATACATTTTTCACTTTTTTTTAATTACACGTTCTTTAATAATTTAATATTATACGTAAACTCAATTTTTTTTTCTTTTTTAATAGCACATTAAAATAAAAACACTATTTTAAAATACATTTTTCCCTTAAACTTCATTAAAATGGAGCATAAACAATGGCTAAAGAAGTATCATATGGTATGATTTCACTATTAATGGTCTGTTTGATTCTCATTATTGTAGAATGAGAATGAAAAATATAGTCGTTATTGGACCCCACACAAGATATATAAATTCAAAATTGATGATTTGATGTGATGGATGAAAAATGAGAAACAAACGGAGGTTAATAACTTTTTTTGACATTCACTAATCATAATATTCAGCATGTTACAATTATTTTCATGAAATAAGATATTATTGTTGAATGGTTTAATTTTTTTTTTGCAAATAACTAAGAGTACATTTGATTGTAAACATGAAACTTGTATGGAAATAAAATAAATTCTTGCAAGTGAATAGCTTAAAACTTATTTGTATTGGAATTATCAATTAAATGTGTTTGATTGATTTAATTTTCAACTTATAAAGTATTATAATTTTTCGTAAAGTTGAGCTTTTGAGAAGTGTGAATTGCCTAAACCCTGTTTGGTATGGATTAAAATTTATATTTTAATCTAAATCAAAATCAACAATTTACTTTAATTACATATTTCATGGGATCCACATCTTTTCAACCACATATTTCAGCATTTTTTTTTTACCGAAATCTATTAAAAAATTGATTTTAATCCTCACCAAATAAGAGCATAGAAAATAAAAAATTACATCCCATAAAGAAACAATTTTCCTTATTATCCTTTTTTAGGAAAATATGATTACCTGGTCAACTTATGAAAAATGTTTTCCATGGAAAAAATGCCAACCAAATACCTCAAAAATAGAAACTTCGGTGAAAAAATATATATTTTTAAGTAAAAATAAAGTCAATCAAACACGTTCTAAGATACTAGTATAAATCAATTTACCATTATTGTAACATGAGGGGCTGTCTGGCGTAGCTTTGCAAATGGTGATAATTCCTTTTTTGACCGTTAAAGCCCACATTTCCATGCAGAGTGTATCAAGGAAGTCAAAAAAGACGGCTCTTCAACGGCTCCAATTTTGCTTAAAATCAAATAAACCCCTACACCAGATAGCCCCTAATTTGACTTTTGTTTAATAGAGGAAATTGCAACTGAAATTATTTTTACTACTTGAAGTTGAATAATGTTACTATTCACAAACTTCACAAAAATGTCCATTTTTTCTGAAAATGCCTTGAATGCCCTTGATATGACTAGCATGTACAAAGTGATATGACTCGTAGCATAACTCATGCTAAGAATTACTTAACCCTAATTGACAATCATTATTTGAAAAAAAAAAATTAGATAATAATTTTTAAGAGAATGTATGATTAAAAAATAGAAGGATGTTTTGAACATACGTGTAGAACATTTTATTTTAAGAATTGTGATTAAAAATGAGTTTGTAGAAAATGAACTTTCAAATAATAATTGTCAAAACAAGGGCTCAAATGGGCAAGAAGCACCCCTAAAACGCCATTTCTCTATCACAAAAATTCCCTCTTCGTGGTCCCATCCATAGTTATCAGCGATGTCCCTCCATCGATTTTATGTCTCACCATCGTCCATATCCATGTCTGCCAATGAAGGTATAATTAGGGTTTTCGAGACTAATGCCTCAATAAAGCCCCCACAACTTTTTGTGATTTTCAAATTATCAAGATTTGAATATATGGATTCTATTAATTTAATTAAATAATTGATTTGTCCTAAATAAAATACATCGATGAAATTAATATATTTACATCCTAAAGTGGATTAGACCCAATGCATAACAATTACATAAACTACAGAAAATCAGATAACCAACAACACTTAAAAGAACTTCAAATCAACCATGAACAAGTTTGCCTCATGTTTTCAGCCACAAGACAGCCATGCAAACTCCATTTAATCATACCACGAGTTTTAAAAAACAATTTTGTTACTTATACATTATTTATGTGCAACTTGGATGACATTCGAATATGTGACAAAATCGAGGTCATTGACTGTTTTAAGCGTTGAAGAAATCAATGATAAAATTGTGTGCCACATAATACAATGTAAAACAGAATGTCAACTAGAATGTATGCGTAGCAAAATTGTTTTAAAAAATATAAAATTTGATCTCACTGCCCCTATTTGGTGTTAAGTGATAAAAGCTCACATCAAATAAAGATGAAAACATAGACCAATTTATAAGAGTTTGAGCTACCCATCTTAATAATGTTGACATTTTAAGATTGAATCTCAAATCTTAATATGGTATCAGAGCTCATTAAACTCCAACAAGTAATTCGATCTGATTAAAACTCAAAAAATTGAGCAAACGGATTTCAAGATTGGTCTGCTCAAACGAGCCACCATCTTGCGGGGGCTTAAGGGATAAAATTTCACATCTAATAAAGATGAAAATATAGATCAATTTATAAGAGTTTGAAACACTCCTCTTAATAAGGTTAACATTTTAAGATGGAATTTCAAATTTTAACATTTGGCTACCATTATTTTAGGAAAAATATTGTTTTGAATAATGAATTTTTGTAGAATGCGTAATTAAAAAGTATGAAGAAGTTTTGAGTTTACATGTAAAGTATTTTATTGTGTGAATATGTGGTTGAAAATGAGTTTGCAAAAAAAAGGAGTTTTGAAAGAATGAGAAACATACATGGTTGACTTAATAATTTAACAAAGATCAACTATACTCTTTTTAAACCTATAAACACTCAATTTACTTTTTATCATACATTTCGAAGCATCAAAAAGTTTTTATCACTTACTCACCACTCATTTCTATTTGTTATAATTTAAATCGTTTATGGTTACTTCCCACATAACATCCATGAGAGTTTGTTAAAAAAATAGCCCCTCTTTGTGCCCCATTTTCACCAAAATTTATTTTCAACTATACAATTACCCAGAAAATATTTTTTAAATAAATTCAAAATTTTTTGACCACTCACTTTTCATTTTCACAAATGTCACTAAATTTGAAAATGCACAAAAATTTTGGATGTGCACTAACTTTGTTCAAAAATGT